ACCTGATTTCGGATAAACAAAGATTATAGTTTTGTTACACAAATTCAAAATTGTTCTAAATTTAGATTTGCTTTATTGTTACACAAAACTAAAATCCCGTCACACAAAATTTTTGCTAGTAAAATCACCCTTCGGGACATAGTTACACAAGTTTTATATGATAATAGAATGACGTGATCTGTGTAATTGTAATAATTCTTTATTTTTTAATTTCTCATTATAAAAACCTTGGAGATATGCTAAGCAAAGTGAGTAGAAAGACCCTGGAAATCTGTCGTAGTAACCATAGCTATAAAATAACTATAAAACAAGACCTAGCGAGATTAAGGTTTATTTTTTGAATCCGAAAACTCAAGTGCTCTGATGGCAGTTCGTGTTCGTATATTAAGCGCAGAATATTTTTATGGGACTATGAAGCGGTTCAGGTCATAAAGTATTGAAAATTTAATGAAAAGACCTCAAATACGGCAGGTAATATTTTGATTCATTATTGTATTATTAATCCTAATATGATGTGATTATACTAATCTGGACTTCGAATTTCATCTTTGATTAGATTGTATGAGCTTTTGAATGTCATAAAGTAGAATCGTGCAGTACTAATAAAATGGTGAGGCCAATGAGAGTTATGAAAAGATGATTGATCAAAGAAAAAGATAGTGAAAATAAGGTAATAACAAGTTTTTAAATAAACCAGAAGGAATTGTTAGGCATTAAATAAAAATAATACAGTCAACTCTTTTTATAACGAACTGATAGTTCTGGAAAAAAAGTTTGTTATAAAAAATTACTATGTTTTTTTAAGAACTCATAACACTTTTTATACTGAACTATTATGAAATTTTAAAATTTTGAGTTCAATATATCCTGAGTTCGTTATATAGAGGTTTGTCATATCCAGTGTCGACCGTATTAAAAACTCTTACTGAGAATAGAAAAACCTGAATGCTGTATCAAGAGTAAAAGTCAAGTTATGTAAAAATAGAACCAAAATGTCAATTGTAGAAGTGAATCGAGTCTCAAAGGATTAGATATAGTAAACCTACAGAAAAAATGATATTAAATCGGACAATAATAGTAATATCGAAGATAATAACCTATTCAATCATTCTGCTTTTTATTAAAAAAGAACAAACAGAAATCTCTAAATCTTATGGTTATTGGAGTTTGTTTTAGCTTTTACAAAAGTCTTGACAAGCCTTGTTTGAGAAAGCTGCGATGCAATCTTAAATAGCTAGAAGAAAAAATAAATTAGTATAAGTAATTGTGGAATTTAATAATAAGTGGAAAAAAATCAACTTGGCTAAAGGAATGATGTACTTATACAGTCGACACTGGATACTGTATAACAAACCTCTATATAACGAACTCTGAATATAACGAACTCAGCATTTTGAAATTTAATAAGCTCTAGTAATTTTCTATAACGAACTTTTTTCTTCCAGAACAATCAGTTCGTTATAGAAAAAGTTGATTATAAAATTTTGAGCTATTGATATTACCTCAAACTATTCCTAATTACTACAAGAAAGATTTGCCATTTCCAACAGTTATTTTCTCAACTTTTTAATTTTAAACAATGCTAACCCTAAAGATGTTTCAAATCTCTCAACATTGTTTGCTAGTGATTAAGATATTTAATTGCCACAATTAATTGCCACAATTAATTGAAGCAATTAATTGAAGTGATTATTGCAAATAATTGAAATGTTCCTTCTATTGAAATGCAAAAAATTCATTTCCAAAATGCGAAATTTAAAATAATTTAAAATTTAGTCAATTAGATAGTCTACACCACTATATTTTATTTATCGAAATAGTAACTTAGTTTATTCGATTTCAGACTACACAGTGGCTCTAGATATAACGGACCATCGATATAACGGATATTGCTTAATACAGAGAATAATGGAACCAAATTATAATTTACTATAATATCTTATATATCATGAGATTTTGATATTGATATAACGGAGCAAAGGACTGTGTAATTAGGATTTTACCTGATTCATTAAGTGAAGTACCATACAGCGCTGACTACAGTACTCGGGGTACTATTTCAAAAACAATCAAATTTCTTGAATAATATCTACCCGGCTATTAATTATGGGGAAGAGTACTATAAGTTGTTTTTTACATGATTTTAATATAAATTTAATAAAGTTGAATTATTAAATACCTAGAATAATATCTGGGTTTTTTTTCAATTTTCTGAATCGTGACCCTGTGAATTGTACCCGGGTCTTTATTGTGGAGGTATTATAGCCAAGGATACTGTAGTCAGTGCCATATAGTATTCTAAATCAGAAAAACAAAATTCACCAGTCCGAATATAGACTAATAATCAGGCTAACCACAGGTTTGGTTTTAAAGTCATGATTAATTGTTAACCAATCCCACGAAGAGACAATGATTTTCTGCAAAATCATTATCTTTGATTCTATCTTTAGTTAGACAAAGAAAAATGTATCTTCGCTAATTTAGTGCAATTGTTTAGCCATAATTTGTTAAAGCTTGTATGCACGTATAATACATATGCATATAAATACAAGTTATTGCAAGATGGTGGTTCTAGTTTCTTAATAATGTGTAATAAACTGATATTGTATAGTAGTATTATAAGTTAATGATTTGCCTCTTAATATGTAGTCTTCAGCGAATTTTATATTCAAGTCTAAATAATAATAGTATTTATTCTGTATCTGATAGCAGAAGATAAAAAGCACATGTATATGCAGCGTTTTTTGTTTAGTTATAAGGCGTTTTAAAATAAATAATTATAATGCATACTTACAAAGAGTATATCCAGGATTCTATGAATATATATAAAATATATGTAAAAGGCGTGCATTTAATACTAAATCTTGAATTTAAAACTAAAGTGTAATGTATATTTAAAAGGGTGCGCATTTAGTATATTTAAACTATACAAAATTTTTTTTGCTTGATAGCATTTAGCTTTATATAATCAATATTTTTATGTCTTCGTCTGAAGATTTAAGCACAGATAATTTAGATTCGGATTCTTTAAGACCAGTATACAATTTAATTGAACTGGGATTAGAAGAATATGAAGACAATGAATTAGTTCTTGATACAGTTCATGATCTAATGCAATTTTTTAAACAATCGAACTGTACATGCCGTCATTCGTCTAGAAAAAAAGATTTAAGAACATGTTATGAAAAAGTTGGATTTAAAAATTTTTTTGAAAGACATTTTCAAATAAGAGCATTAGAAAAACCAGAGCTCGAGCTATTTTTAAAAGCACAATTAATGGCCTTCGAAATTACTAATAAAAATGAAGAGTCTCAAAGACAAAATTATAGATATAACTATAATGTATCTTTATTACTTTGTAAGCCAGTATTTTTAAAACTTTGTGGAATAAGTGATCATTTTCTTTTAGCAATTCAAAAACATTTACAAGAAAAAGGATTAACTAAAAGAACTCACGGAAATACTGGACGTGTACCTAAGTTAAAAAGTAAAGTATTTCTTGATTCTAGTATTACATTTCCGGTTAAACGTTTTTTAGAACAGTATGGAAATATTAATGGACTTCCTTCTCCTATGCGACATAAAAATGAGTCAGAACCGTTTATTTATTTACCTACTGGAAATACATATACTTCAGTTTATAATGAATTTAAAAAACATTTTAATAATGAAAATAGTGAAAATACAAAAATTATTTCTTATTTTACATTTAGAAAACTTTGGTACGAAATGATTCCTCATCTTAAATTTCAACCACCTGCAAGTGATCTTTGCGAAGTTTGTGAAACTTTTAAAGCTAAATTAGTAGTAGCAAAATCGGATATAGAAGAATATAATCAAATTAAAACTCAATATGATCAACATTGCATTGCAGCAGATCGAGAAAGACAACACTATAATGATAATATAAATAAGAGCGCGAAAGATTTATCAATTGCACATGTTTGCTATAATTGGGCACAATGTGTATCAATTCCGTATTCACCGCAACAAGTAGGGGCAATTTACTTTAAAAGTCCATTTTCTGTACATTTATTTGGAGTATGTAAAACAGAAGGCGGTCAAAATTTTCAATTAAACTTTGTAATAGGAGAGGATGAATTTCCGGAAAGTACTTCTAAGGGAGCAAATACTACACTTAATATGGTTTATTATTTTCTTCAAAAATTTGCTCGTGAAGGAAAAAAAAAGTTGCATATTACTTGCGATAACTGTAGCGGTCAAAATAAAAATAACTTAAAACTTTTTTTTTATTCCTGGTTAATAATGTTAGGCTGGTATGAAGAAATCACGGTAAATTTTATGATCCCGGGTCATACAAAATTTATTTGTGACTCCTTTTTTGGTCAAATTAAAAAGATGTATAGAAATCATAAAGTTAATATAATAAGCGATGTTGAACAAATTATTAATAATTCTTCAAAAGGAAACAAAGCAATTTTATATAATAATGGATTAGGCTGGGCTTGGCACGATTTTTCTTTATTATTTAACAATCATTTTAAAAATTTTCCCAATATAAAACAATACTATCATTTTAGATTTAGTAGCTTACCTACAGACATTGGAAAAGTTTACGCATCAACTGAATCGGGTGGGCCAGAAATTTCATTTCAACTATTGCGCGAGTATAACTTTGCTATTAACACTACCTTAAAAACTATTTCTATTAAATTATTAACAAAAGAAAGAAAATACTATTTATATACAAAAATTAGACAACATGTAGATGAACCGTATAAAGATGTATATTGTACAAATCCAGAAAAAACTAAAGATGAAAATAATATTTATTAGGAAATTTACATATAAGAGCCCGAAAAATGAAAATAATTACAAATAAGGGTCTAAAGCGAAAATAATTATGTCTACGGGCCCAAATTTTAAAAATTTTATCAAAATAACTATACATCATGATGATAGTAGTTCTTTGAGCATTATTACTATATATATGTATACTACTTTATCTATTTTATACTATATCCTTTGCTTAATAAACATTTCTTTTAACCAAGGTATAGTTCGACTGGGTTAAGATTGAAATATGAATCATATTTTGTGAAGGTTACTATACATTAATAAAGCTAAATTACTTTGGAAATCGACAAAAGGCGTTATAATTTTCGCACATAAGACATCAATTGCAATACTCATTAAAAAGTAATACGTTTAACTGTCAAAAGAAAATTGCCTTTATATAATTATAAATGTCGCAATCTAATTAATTACAAAAATATCTGTTTTGGACCCTTATTAGTAATTATTTTCATTTTTCAGGCTCTTATACGTAAATTCCCTATATTTATTTTATCAAATAAAATTAATAAATTTTTTTAATAAATAATTTACTAAAAACGTATCAGAATAAAAAAAAAAAAATTTGTGATAGAAATCACGATACAATAGTTAAAGACATGATACGATGATCGTAAAACACAGCAATTAAAAAAAATAATACAGTGATTTAAAGCACAATACGGTAATTAAGAGCATGATATAGTAATTAAAGGCCAAATGCAGTAATATAATTAAAGGCCAGAAACAGTAATATAATTAAAAGTATAATATAGTAATTAAAGCACAATATAGTAATTAAAAAAAAAGTATAGAATAACAAAAACCTAAAGCAAAAACAACAAACCAGGATAGGGAATGACAAAGTATCCAAAGCAATGATAAGAAATCTGAAACAAAGATCAAGGATCCAACACCAGAAAACAGTCACAAAAAAACCTGAAACAGATATCAAAAACCCGAGACAGCAATAGAAAACCTGAAGCAGAGATCAAAGAACTCGAAGTAATAACAGAAAACCTTAAGCAGAGATTAAAGAACCCAAGACAGCGATGAAAAACCTGAAGCAGAGATCAAAGAACCTGCGGCAGTGACAGAAAGCTTGAGGTTGAGTTCATAAAACCTGAGATAGTAACAGAAACTCCAAAACAGAAATCAAAAAAAGCCCGAGGAAGTGACAAAAAACCTGAAACAGAAAAATTTGAAACAGAGATCAAGGAACTCAAGCCAGTGACAAAAAATCCAAAGCAAAGATCAAATAGTTACAGAAAATCTAAAAAAAAAAATAAAAATAAAAAGCCTGATTTAGTGATCAAAAACTCAAGTGGTAACAGAGAACCTGAGGCAGAGATCGAGGAACCCAAAGCAATAATAAAAGAAGCAAAAATAATAAAATAACAAAGAACCTAAAACAATGAAAGAATTCAGAGCAAAGATCAAAAAACCTAAGGCAAAGATCGAGGAACCTGAGGTAAAGATCAAAGAACCTGAACAAAGATCAAAAAACCTGGGCAAAGATCAAAAACCCAGGGTAGCGATAGAACCTGAAGTTGAGATCAAGGAACTCCCTGAAGACCTAAAAGATCAAAGAACTTGATTTAGAAATCAAGAACTCAAAGCAGAAAGAGAAAATCTAAAGATTAGGGACCAAAGCGGCAAGAATCAATCAGCCTGAAGCAGAGATTAAGGACCAGAAGGAGCCTAAGACAGCGACAGAAAATCCGAGATAGTGATGAAACAAGAAGTGGAGATCACAAAACTCAAAGCAGTGGTAAAGAATCTAAACAGTAATAGTATTTGTGATAACAACTAACGCTAACGCTCTAGCAGAAAAGTCACGATAAAAAAAAGAGATAATAGATGACCAATAAAAATGAACTTTGACAATCTATGTCACGTGACAGTGGAATATCTGATTCTATTTTTAGATCTTATATTTAAAAAATCCGGAATCAAAAAAAATCACTTTCATATTAAGACAATCTTGCCTAAAAATTATGTCAAGTGTTATCCCTATACTGAAGATTAATATG